TGGATGCTGGTTCTCTATTCCTACTGCTGAGGTATTTGTCAGACCAAGTAATCGATTCAATGCAATCATTCAATTCGCAATAAATCCAAAAAAGTCCAAATCTAGCTAATCAGAGCGTAATTCCAAATCAAGAAATCTAAAGCTGTAAGCAGTTGTCTATGGGTATTGTGCGCAACGCAAGTCTATCATCTATCGTCTATCCTCTATCCTCGTCTCGGGTCGTGTCAAAATGTTATGCCTCTTGCATCGTCGCCAAACACACGCGGTCGCGCAAATAGAGTTCAATCCCCGCCTCGGCACAGGCACGGTGCAGCGGCTCTACCGTCTGATACACCCGGGGTTTGATCACTTTCTCGTCGGCGGCCTCCGCCGGCTGGTAGCCTGATGCGTCCTCATCCTCCTCGTCATGGAAAAAGCCTTCAACGTCGAGTCGTCTCAGGCCCTTGAATTGCGTCTTGCGCTTGTTGAGAACCTTTTGGAGCTGTCCAACCAGCATGGCCAAAGTATTTTCCTTACAGCCTTCCACATACAACGATTCGACCGACGCGGGAAGCACATCGGTGAGCGGGCACGACGGTTCATACTGGTAGCGAACATCAAGCAGGTTGGGCAGACGGATGCGGATATCCTTCAACGCAGTGAACTCCGTCAGAGGTCCAAACCACTCGTCGTGCGTCTCGTTCGCTCCGGCAATGGTGAAAGGCAAGTGGGTGCCGCAATTATCCAGCCACAGGGTGTGCAGGCTGCTCTTGCTGTTCGCCAGGGACTCGAAGAATGCAGAAGGCTGGAACCCCTCTGCAAGCAGGTGTGAATCGGAGTGTTGGTACTTGAAGGACTGCAGCGAAGAGCATGAGGCGATCAGGCTTTGCATGCCCTGAGATCCACTGCTCGTGTTTAGTGTGATCTCAGCAATGGACGAAGAGCCGGGAGTAGGCTCCTCAACGGGATGGGTTGGTTCGGGCTCATCCTCGCGTGGGCGGGTAGACTCAACCACCGAGTCCGCCGAGAATGCCCGCATGGATGGCAATTGAAAGAAAGGAAGGACCTGGGAAGTCATGTAACTTCCTCGGCTGTCTTCCTCGTCGGCTAAATGGCTCAGCGACACATCCCGTAACACACGGAATGCCGGCTGGTCATCGAAAGGCTTTTCTCCCTTCACTGCCCGCTGCATCATGCGGTCCAGGTAGACATTCTGCTTGGGGTACACTAATTGCAGATGCCTCAGGTTACTCGCCAGCGGCAGGAGAAGCGCAATCCAAGCTTCTTCAACATTATCCCGGAGATCCTGCTCCCATTTCGTGTGCTCTTCGGCAGTTTGACTGAGGGAATAGGCCAATTGGGCAAACGGCGCCAAATCTTCGTCGGAGGAGGGGGAGGAAGGAGTGGAGTTGGATCTAGGACACCAGTCATGGAAGTCCAAGCTGCGAACCGCCCGAGCCAGCTCGGGACGACGGAGGACAGCTCCCAGGAAGGAACGCGTCTGGGAGCAGTCCTTTAGGGCAGCTGCTTGGTAAACCAAGCGCAGAAACAGGTCGTGAAAATGACGGCACACAAAAAGAAGGTTGTAGCGGTCCCGATAGTCTTCCACATACTCCCCGACCAGCAGGAGGATGTCATTGGGAAGTGGGAGTGACATACTGAAGGGGGATCAGCAATTGAAACTGAATTCAATGCATCTGGGGAAACAAAGCCAAGGGAGCAGCCACCGGAAGTCCGGGGGGATTTAAGGGTGGCCGCACACGTCGATAACCTAAGATAGGGGAACTGAGTTTTGCAAAATCCACAGCGTTGGTGAACTTTGCCAGCCTTAATATGGGGAGCAGATCCATCGTGCGGGCCAATGGACGGCAGCTGGCGGAAGGGTCGTGGATCACCAGTGGCATCGGTTGACCTGCTCCATCCATGGTTAATCCAGAAGGGTTCCATAAGGGGCAATGGAGTCCGTATTCACACAACCCGTTGCCAACCCATCCACTACAATTATTGCTGCGAGGCATGACGTCCCACCGCTGTGCTGTGTCCCCCCCCCCCCCCCCCCCCCCACTACGGATAGCATCGTCGGGTTCCGCGGTTGTAAGGGCGAGAAAGCACCGAATTGTCGTGGGGGAGGGCGCATGGACGATGGCGGTGGAAAATTCGATCACGGTGTGTGTTTAGTGTTAGTGTGTACCCGCAGTCGCTTGTCGCCACCGCCATTCAAGGCGCTGACGGGCCGGTGGAGTCGCGACAAAACAGAGGCTCCATCCACTGCGCGGGGGGCAATGCTGGAGGTGCAGGTGGTGGGAAATTTCCCCTCTCGGCTGTCCAGTTGCTGCAGATGGTTGCATTGTTTCTGCAGCCTGGGAGTCTGTGTCCGTTGCGTTGACGATCGTGATGATGTCGATCAATGGGCAAGAGACCTCGTTGCGGGGTCATCACAGTCCTCGGGGACATTCATCTTTTGTATAATGGTACGGGGTAGAACACAGAAGAGAGAGCTGTGGGCTGTCGTAGAAATACTGGAGCACTTGCCCTGAGCTGCCAACAAGCAACCAGCGGTATGACAGGGAAACTGTGAGGGTTAGAATGTCTCGAATGGAAGAAAAGAAATCAATCCCGTGATGTCACATGCATGCGATCTGCAGCCCTTCCTCTACTCCATACCCTCCAATTGCTTTGGCAAAAGTACTCAATGGCTTTGAAGCATTGCAGTTTACAGTGCTTGATTAACTTATTGAATCAATCATCACATCAACATTGCAATCAGCCATGACCATCGTGGAACTTGCGATTCGGCAGGCCTGCTCGATCGGGCGAGGCGACACTCGGTGGATTCTGGCTTTTCGCCATCGGTGGAGCTCGGCGGATCCCCGATTGATGAATTTTCCCCCGCCGATGAAGCGGTGTTTTGGATTTCATTCCATCGAGGACCTGCTTAGCTGGAGTATTAGATGGAGCATCTTTGACTGTTGTAGTTGACAGAAATATTAGAATGACTTCGCTCATGGCCAGGGAAGCGTTATTAAGGTGTTAGTAGATACCTCAGGCATCATAACCCTACAGTTATCTGCAAGCTACTTACGGAGAATATTCGGCTCTCTGTCAGGAACAAGAGATACGGTGACCGGCTTCCTTTTGGCTTTCCCGACGGCAACCTGATTAGATCCTGCAAATGTGTTGTCCGACTAGACATGCAGCTAGATAAGTGTGGGTGTGGTAGCTTTCGCCTGAATGCAGATCCACCCGGTCGGTCTACTTCCTCTTTTCATCTCAGAGATCCTACTAGCCCTCTACCCATGCCATTAATAATGTTGAATAAACAGATTGTCTGTATTTATCTCGCCAGCTGCGGGTATGGCGGTAGACATGTGCTAGGATCCATGGGATCATACCATGATTTCTACCTCGCTCCACGGATGATGGAGTGATATGTATCTAGTAGATTCCAACACAAAAGTAGATGTTCCTATCTTATTTTCAATTTGGCTGACTCGCACAATAGTCGAATAATCAAGATAGACTACCTTCAATCAAGGTGATTCGGAGACGGACGTGCGTAGTCTCATGGTTTCTTCGGTCAATTCGAATGGTTCCTCTCTACACTTTCTCGCACCTCTTCCAAGCGGATAGAGACCGGTAAAACCTACTGACATAAATCTACGGAGTCAGATCTTGGAGTATAATCTTGAACAATATTATTCACTGTTTCATGTCTACTCCTACCTCATGAACATCATGTGATGACACAAGAACTTTTCCTATTACATAATATATTAATCAGCATCCCCACCAACCAACCATTAACTTCCCACTACTTCTGCCTCATCGGTGATTTGCGGACCAGGCAATATGATCTTAGAGTGAGAGTTGTAGATATGTCGGGGACTAAGGCATGTAAGATGTTGAGCAAGCAATTTTCTTGACTAGATCGCATATTAATACTTGCTAGAAGATTCCCTCCGCCATGCCTTCTTCAGATCATTCAAGCATTTGATCTATCCCACAGAACTTCCATGCAGAACTCAAGATAAAGGCATACACACCTAGTATGGTCTATGTCTATTCTTTCTTGATATGCCGTATTTTGGCGGACTACACTGGAGGCAAAGTGGACGACTGTGTAGTTTGTGTCCCTCCCAATACTCGCGCTTCACTGGGAGACGGGCAAATTCTCTTCTGTGTCTAATCTTGAAGCAGCAAGGGCAGGCGAAACGGTTTTCATTTCTTTTCGCAAAAATCAGTATATATGGAGATGATGCTACACAATGGCTTCTTGCGAAGATGCTTACCTTTTCCATTCCTCCGCAGCGAACAGATATAATATCTTCTGTTGCGGTGTCGTATGGCTTTGAACTTGTATAACAGTCCGGAAGTATTAACTTGTCTGTGACAGAACCACTAGGAGACTATAGTCAAGGTACTCGATGATTTGGAAGTTGCAGCTCAGGCAACAGTGTCGTAAAGCAATCCATAGTGGATGATGCTGTTCGTAGGGTTGGGGATTCAGGGATGGTTTGACATGGCCGGCCATTTTTGTTAACCGCTTACACCCCGCGTCTAATGACCTAGTAGTTACTTCATGTCCCATGCAGACCACTCAATGAAAGGTGGCTTGGAGCGGATCTTGGTCTCTGCTAGAAGACTGGCTTCTTGTTCACTCACTGGCATCTTTACGAAGGGACGTATTATCTATGTACTTTTCTTTTCCACGTTGTCGACCATAGGGACAGCCTCCACGCTTCATTTCACATTATGTTTCAACCCAACATACCGCTCTACATGTTTTTACTCATTTAAAAACAGAAGTGGCACCAAAGCAAATAGCATTCTCCTGGTTGGCAGACTGGGCGCCTGGTAATTCACATTGACCGAGATTTCATACAATTATCCCTCCTCCTACCTGGTAGATTTACGACACAAATCTAGGGTAAGACCTTGATGTTTTTTGAGAGACAATGAAGCACAATAAATCCATTGGGAACTCTAGAGAACTAAGTACTTACCAACCATAAACACATCTCTCAACCCTTTGCCTCCTTAACTGCAAACTCCCAAAACGTAACCTCACCAGACTCATTCCTCATTACCAAAACTTTGTCTTTCGTTACAACCACATCACGCGGTATGTACTGCAAGGGAAGGGGAACTTTTTCTGACCCATAAATTATCCAGCCGTTCTCCACCTGTATCTGCCGACTAGTTCTCGAGTCCCAGTTTGGTAGAAATGATCTAACATCAATTCGACTTTCATCTGTAACAATCACCTCATCGCCTTCAAACTCCAAGGTCTCTGTTAAGTGACTTATGCTAGGACGCAATAATATATCGGTGCGATGGCCAAGCAGCTTTAGATTGTCTTCAAGTACTCCCCATAAGGAGAGGCCTCGTCCATCACGAGCTCTGGTAGCAACCAGCCTTCCGTTTGGGGACAATGCAGCACAGACTCCCGGATATTCGAGAATTATGGTTTTGCTTTTCGCTAAATCACAAAGGATAATAATGGCATGGTTTTCCTGCTTCAAGAAGAGGATGGGACAGTTGATTGCCACTTTTGTCCCGTCGGCTGACCAGAGAACCTTTATCGCACATAACTCCTCGCGCTGACACGTATTCCATTGAAGTCGACACTTTTCGTCAATCACATCCCATACTTCTAGAGCTATTGCTTTGGAATCGCTATTCCAAAGGACAATTGCCAGGAGCCTCCCGTCAGGTGAGAAAGACAAACAAGGCTCTTGTTTGTAACCGCGAGGGACGGTGCAAGCCACGTTGCCAGTGATTATATCCCACACTGTGATGTAAAAATCATCGTCTTCGTATTGAGCACTCTCCCTTGAGACCGAAGCTTTCGCAAGAAGCCTGCCGTTTGGACTGATATCTTCTGTCTGAAAATTGTATAGATAGCCTTGGACAAGGTCTAAGACAATATTGTCGAAAAGCCGATTGGTGTCCATTCCCTCCGTTGCCGTCTTCAAATTGGTCAAGATTGATCCTTTATAGCCCCTGACTAGGACCTGCCCAAACATCTCAGTAATGCCTTCTGTATCTTTCCTATTGACTCTCCGACTAAGAGAGCCAGATTTGTTCTCCCAAAGGCAGATATTGGCTGTGGATGCCGATAGTACAAATTGATGGTCATGAGACAAGATGAGCCTCCCGTCAGATTTTAGCGGAGCTGCAAGCTGTTCCGATCTTAAGTCTGAAGATAGATCCCAAATTCGAACTATTCTGTCGAGACCAGCGGATATGAGAAGTCGACTTTCCCAGTTGAATACAACGCGTGAATAAGCCGTGATGCCTCTCAGGCTCATCAGAAGTTCGCCTGTTGCCGAGTCGAAAAGATCAGTGATTGGTGTGCGATCTGCCCGTATCGTTGCAACTACAAACATCTTCCCGTTTGGCGAGAGTTTAACGCGCATTTTCGGATCGGGCGTAGGGAGTCTCCAAGCGTTGACGAGTCACATAATCCCATCTCTGAAGCCCTGTGGAGCGATGCCAGGTTGTTACAACCTTTTCACTTGGGGAGAAATGCATGATAATGTCTGAGCCGAGGGACTGGCAATCTCTCCAGTCCAGCGAATCATCAATTATTTCCAGCAACAAAGCTTTCGTCCTCCAATCCCATAGCTTAATTGAAACACAATCACTCAATAGTGTTTCTGTCAACAACTCACCGGTGGCCGAGAATGTCATATTGAGGCCCTTCCCAATTCCTGAGGTATGGCTCAGCGATAGTAGAAAAACGGACTCAATTGCATCCCAGAATAATATACTACCGTCAGTCAGAGATATTGCCAAGGCGGCTCCATCTGGAGTCCATGCCATGGTATTAACAGTGGTGGGTACATGAACAATCTCCAGTTCTCCCTGTGTAGCATAGATCAAACCAATGCTCTTTCTACTGCAGTGTACCATTGCTAGGCACCCTAGAGATGACAATGAATCTTCGTGAGGCGCTTCCCACATATCATCATCCGAGGAATCACCTTCCCAGGAAAGCATCTTTTTTTGCAACATTCCGGAACTTATATCCCAGACTTGGATACCCTGCAATCCCCCAAAGGAAAGAATGTGCTTGTTGCCAGGAAGAAACGCAATAAAGTCTGGCCACCCACCGCAATCGATCGTATATAGCAATGTTCCCGTAGTTATATTCCACACATTAACCCTAGAGAGCTTCCATGGCCCACACAGGACAGCGAGAGTCTTTCCATCTGAAGATAGGGCTAGGCAACGGCCGGAATCTTTGTTATAGAGTTCCTGAAGTAGAGGCTTCCATTTGTCCATCACTCTAGGCAATCTGGAGAAGGTACTTGGAATCAAACTCCCATAGGCTTTCCGGCAGATGCTTTGTTCCGGGGCGAAAATGAGTGCCGAACGATAGACCTGAAGGGGTAAGTTTTCGATTTCATTCCTCGATGCAAGCATGAAACGCTTCATGTCGGAGACCATATCTTGAATCCCGGCTCTCCCATTACGCTGGAATATAGCGGAATAACATTCAGTGATTAGTGGAATAAATGATTAAACGGATAACAATTAGTTGGTACCTACCGGTAGGGCACTAAAGTAACTTTCAAGCTCGATGACGTTGAGTGTAGCTGCCGGTATCATTCGAAGAATACTCATCAGTTCAAGCCAATACAAAAAATTCTGTTTCAGGAATTGATGTACACAGTCATCATCAGACAGCTCGAGATCAGCTTGTTGGAGATGATACGACCAATATTGGGAAGCGTATCTGACGCGGACTGGAATTTTTTGGTCCAGCAAAGATGGATCAATATCCTTGACCAAGAAGGATGGGTCATCAAGAGAACAGATATCTTGTTTCAGAGTACCCGACAGCAAGTTTAAGCAGCTTTTGAGCAGACTCGATGGGCCTCTCTCGAGTCAATGCAGAATTAGTCATAAAGACATCTCCTTTGAGGCTGGCCTAGGAGGAAGTCGCGAAAAGACAGATGTAGCAATCGGATAGGTGACTCAAAACTATCCCCACTCGAGACAACAGAGCTCAGGCTACTTAACAATTTTCGTGTTTTTGGTGCCTTTCCAGACAAACCCAAAAGATCTTTGAGGGTTGCAATCGAGAGGGGCTCAGCTAGGACAACAACAGCCCCGATTATTCGTTGGAAAAGCCCAAAGAAATCAGCCTTCTCAGTCTTTGTTTTCCTGGAGCTGTGAATAACAGAGTAACTCAGAATTTGACTATACGTCCGATCCAGAATTTCCTGTGGTGATTCGCCCGAGTCGTCCGCAGATAGCTCCCGCATGCGTGCTTGCAAATCTTCCAAGTCATCTACGCCATCCAGGAAGCGACATGCGGTGGCTGCGTAAATAAACAAGCCATCGCTTCGGTCCGCGAGAGTACGAACAATTTCTATTTTAGCATCCTGCCCGAGCCAGCAGGTAGCTTTTACATGCGACTCATTGTACTTGATGGGGTCTTGGGACGCAATTTTTTCGATCTGGTGCTCCAGATACAAGGTTATGTCGTCTTTCGGAAGGTTGGCCACCTCAGACGTCATTGGAGTCTTTCGAAGTTCGAGGTCTCTGACACTTACTCCATCAGAAAGAGCATGAAGAAAGTGAGAGTATATTTCTGGCCGGCTGGTGAGGAATATCTTCAGCCGGATGTTTCGCAGCTTGGCAGCTGTGGCCAGAAGCCTCAGGACGCCTCCAATATCATGAGCCGGTTTTCCAGTCTCCTTAGGGTCCTCAGACACGACCTCATCAAGTGCATCTAGCAGCAATACCAGTGTCACAGGTAGGAGGAGCTCCTTCTCAAGTTTTAAAAGTGGTTCTAGAATCAAGTTGTGCCACTGGTTGCGCAAGTTCTGGGTGCCGATGAATTGGTTTTCCGAAATTGCTTGGCATATCTTGTCTCTGGAATCTGGGAATGATGATGCTAGCTCATAGGAGATAGAAGGAAACAACTTTTCAACGGTGTTGCGCCCAGGCTCACTTCTATCGAAGAAGAAACTGGCACCGAGATATAGGTGCACCGGAAGAGAGGATCCATGAGGTATAAGCGACTTACGCTGCTGGCATGCAGCGGCAAAGGTACGGGAGATTGTAGATTTGCCGGTTCCTGCCATTCCTCGGAGCCAGAACACTTGAGAGTCATCCGGAGACTCGGCCCAAGACTGAATTTCACGAAGTATCTCCGTCCGCGTGCCCTCGAGGCATTCTGATTTGTTTCCATCGTCAAAGGATCCAAACTTTGCTTTCGAGACCACTGGAAGGTCGTTGAGAAGTTCCTTTTGTTTGGCCTCCTGTCATGATCACCTCACGTCAATATGATTGTTGATGTACAGATATCCGTCATTTTCAGAAGGCCTACCTTGAAGTTTTCCTTTAACACGGAAAGTGAGTCTATCACCACTTTCTGTGAATTTTCCAATTCTTTGAAGATCGTTTGGATATCATCGCCAGCGAATATTGTCAAATCCTGGCGAATTTTCCCATCAAGTCTCGTTATCGACTCGAGCATGTTGCGCCACTTATCAACATCTACCCAGTCCTTCAAGAATCGCTTGTACCCTGAATGACTGAAGTGAGTGGCAAGACACATGTGGTACTCAAGTATACGAACGTATAGCTCGACTGTCTTGGATCTCACCAACTCTGCAAGATGCTGAGGCGATTCGGCTACTTTGGAGCCAGAATTCAAATATATTCTGGCCTGGCTTTTCTCCAGAAATGCATATCGAACCATCAAATCTGAAACAGCCTGGAATCCGCTCATAACTTCCTCATCCTGATGAAATGATTTGGCCAGTGGATCTAGTAGAAACAAAATACCTGCCCATGCTATAGAGGCATGTGGCTCTGCGCTCACTGCAGCGGAGATAACGTCCTTTACAGACAGAATTCCCCCGACGACGCGACGCACTTGTTTTCTGACCTCGATCTCTCTTCCTCTAATACATATCTTAAGCCGTGACTTTTCGATCGCTTCGAGACGCCTTTTAACGCAATACTCGAGTCGAGGATCAATGTCAGTATTTTCTCGCTTTTCTTTATTCAAGGTATCCGATTCCGCGCTCGACAGGATGATCCTTTCATACTGGGCAAGTAGCTCTGGACTTTTGGCTTGGAGATCTAGGTAAGCCTTCTTCCACAGCCCTTCGAGTCTTAGAGGAACTGGATCGGGAATGATCGAAGAACTCTCATTAGCGACTGGAGCATTGTGTGAAACCAACGATGCAGTACTGGTATCTTGAGAAACATTCAGACTGGAGTTCTTTGGTGGACGGAGAGTCGCCTTTAAGTCTTTCAGGCGCTTTCGGAAAGGCATTATCTCGGGGGTGGTAGTCACCGATGCGAATATATTCTGGAAGGGCACGAGCGAGGCAGATATGGCTTCAGAGGTCGGACTGCCACCTTGCCCCTCACCCTAGTTTCCGTTACTTCGCTTAAACAAACTAGTAAGATATCTTTCTTACCAGCACCTGCATGTCAAGGGGTGTGTACTTGATGTGTCCCGATATCATTGGCAACAGCCCCGCGCTAGCCTTGTCACTTATGCATAGTGCCGATGAGCTTAGAACCTATGGAGAATGCCATATAGACAGCAAAACCCTGGCTACAAAACGTGAAATCGGAAAGCAAATCCAAGAATCCATTGATATTCCTAGATAAGGAGCACGAGATGTTCCAAATTACGCATACCCTTTCAAAAGCAAAGTCATACTGAACGAAGGGCGCCAACAGCAACGCATCAGCACACTAGGCAGTAACGACTTCACATCCATTCACTGCATAACGTTCGGCCTCTGCTGTTTTCCCTTCAATTTTTTCTTTGCCTCTTTATACTTTGGATCTTTGTTGCTGACAATGCGCCGCCTTTCCAATGCACGCAAAAGCCTAAGAATATAGACCTGAGAGTTGTAGCTCGGATCTTGATTGTTGACGCGTGCACGTTCTCCAGCGTTGATAATAGCATCGTACACCCCCTGTCGATTTGGAATATCACACAAATTAACACGGTCAATGAAACTTTCTTCATCTTCATCCGTCAAAAATCGTGTTTCGACTCGGTAAGAATCTGGGGATCCGACGAGGTGGATAATGGGCTTTTCGGTGTAGGTTGGGGCGTCGATGTAAAGCATCCAGTGCTTCAATACGCCGTCCCCTGGTAGTATAGCGACATACACGTAACAGGTTGGCAAGATTGGTAGGTCATCGTGGTAAATGTAATTACATTCGGGCTGGCCGTCCGAGATGTCGCTAGAGTACTCAGAGTCCTCGAGATACTCGGACTCCTCGTGTTCCTCCATGGTGGTGGTTGATTGCATGGTTTAGGGTGAGGATGTAACAGCCTGATCGAGGATAAAGAGTAGACTTGTAGTGGAGTATGCCGAAGCAGGAAGAAGGACCGTTTAGTAGCAAGATCCGCAGATTGCAGGCAAGGCTAAGATATATCTCACAAATAGCGGGGTCGAAGGCATCAGGCTGAGAAATATATTGAGTCATTTGATTGTGGAACAGATGCCCTGTCACACAGAGAGCGAATCATGCGGTTGCTTCCGTAAACACAAGGCTGAATTATCACCATCTGAACTAACCATCTTTCCTCGCCCATATTCTCATCATGACCTGGAGATGCCACCAGTCACCAAAACTATCTAGACCGCTGTACTACAGTCGTGCTTTGTTCCAATGCCCTTTCTCGCCCGTGCGTAACTACTTCCAATTAAGTCTTATTCTCCTTGACCCAACTGAGAAGCTCGAAAGGAGAAAAACTCTCCTAGCTACTCACCCAATAGCTTCTCGGTATCCAACTGCGGCATCAAGTTTTTGGAAAACTGAGCTGCGGGGTAGGCTCAAACATGTGGCTGTACAGGCATCACTTCTGTTTCAATATTACCCCTATCTATGACCCATACGAGAAGTCTTATTCATACTTTATTTATGTAGGCAGCACGGCATCTTTGTCACGCTAAACATGTTTTTCGTCAAGGGTCAAGAACAGGATGAATAACTCAGGAAATTGGGATAATAGTATACAAGCCTAACAAAGAGCACCAGTAACGTAGAGTATCAGCAGCAGATTTACTAGAAGATAATATAGCAATTACTCTTTTGCCATTATTCGAAGGAAAAATCTGCAATGACATTGAATATAAATGGAGACCTCTCCATAAATAATCGGGATCTCCAGCTCATATCGTTCATAAGTGTAACATTTTTAATTAGATCATTTTCCAGAATCTATCTATGCATGATCTGGGATTATAAACGGAAGAATCTCATCAATATCACAGTATTAGCCAAACAGGGTAAGTATACCAGCATAGGCTGAGCACTTCGGAATACAGACATCCCTGTCATACTTAATACTTCGGGATAGGTGCATAGCAATCTACTCCCAGCAAATTAATAAAGCACCATCTCCTCTCAGTAGCGAGAAGAAGTATTCACCAGGCTCATACCACCTCAAAGCGCCTAACTTCAGGGCAATTATGAGACATTTTCAGATATGCAAGTCATGTGATGGCAACTGCGGGTCCAAAGATGCACAAGAACCCCCATCACGTCAGCATTGCTGAGTCATCCCCTCCAGCGTGCCTGTTGACCTGGCAGGCATAAGGTCGCGCGTTATCCCCTGATCGCCTGGAGTAGTAGTGTTCATCATCCATCAAACCTGTCATCATGGCATCGATGTTCCGCATTCCATCTCGGTTATCCAGGCAGATTTACTCCTGGCGATCTTTGCTCCAACGTCCCCCATCGCCAGTGCGCGATTTCTCCCAGTCAAACTTTCCTCTTCTCGATGCAAACGAGAAGGTCGAGGAGGAGACGCTGTCCTGGTACTCACCCGATGACTTCTATCCCGTGAAGATTGGCGAAGTCTTCCAATCTCGGTATCAGGTCATTGGTAAATTGGGTTACGGTGGATATTCGACCGTTTGGCTTTGCCGGGACCTCCAGTCAGCTTACCCTACATGCAATATGAGCTGCGGCGCGAAACAAAACTCACTGTAGTTCTAGGCAGCACGCTTATGTCACACTAAAGGTATTTGAGCGCAATTCAACAGAGGGCCAACGAGAGAGGGAAGCCTACAGCCACTTGAATTCTCTTAGCACAGCAGACCATGCTGGTGTGCAGCTTATTCGAAAAGCATTGGAAAGCTTTCACATTACGTCCGAAAAAGGCACTTTCGGATGCCTGGTTCACCCGCCGCTAGGGATGAGCCTTCATGAGTTTCGCACACAACTCAGGGCCAAAGTACTTCCTGAAAAGATAGTCAAGTTAACCCTCGTGCATCTCCTTCTTGCTTTGGACTATCTCCATGCGGAAGCTGGAATTGTCCATACAGGTATACTGATTCGTCCTATAACCCCTTCAGAAGAAAACCCTTAGTTAATTGGTCCCCTCCAGATATCCAAGAAAAGAACATCATGATGGCCATAGAAGACAATTCTATATTGGCAGATTTCGAAGAAGAAGAGAAGTCCAACCCCAGCCCACGCAAAGTCGTGGGCGATCGAGTGATCTATGCCTCTCGCAACCTCAGAAAAACCAAACAACATGGCCGTCCTACGCTGTGTGACTTCGGTCAGGCTCGCTTTGGGTCAAGTACTTATTCCGGGGATATCCAGCCCTATATCTATCGGGCTCCTGAGGTGGTTTTGCAGATGCCGTGGAATGAGAAGGTTGATATCTGGAATGTCGGTGTCCTGGTATGCAACCCATCTTTTTCACCCCGTCAGGCTGTTTGGCCAATACCATAATTATGGATGTTCGTGCATTTACTAATTCAATGATCGGGACAGACATGGGACATCTTCCAACAAGGGCATCTGTTTTACGCTAGAGATTCAGATAAGAAATGCTCCGATGCTCATCATCTCGCTGAGATGGTAGCTATTATGGGAGCACCTCCGAAAGATCTGGTGCAGAGCAGTGACTATGCAAGCCAGTTCTTCGATAACGAAGGTATGAGTAGATTTTGATATCCCAAGAATCTTTTTATTGCTGACTGTGGGCTAGGAAATTGGAAGGCGGCTACCGAGATTCCTCCTGTGTCTTTGGAAAATCTTGAAGAAATCTTGGAGGGAGAATCGCGGCAGCTTTTTTTGCAATTCCTGCGCAAGATGCTCAAATGGAAGCCCGAGGAGAGAGAATCGGCGAGGGACCTTTTGGACGATCCATGGCTACGCTCGCCTTAAACGAACCTGTATACCCACCCAGCCAAGTTCAAATGACATTCTAGTTTTTTCAGTGCTAGCTACGCAGGACGTAAGGAAGGGCGTGAACACTAGACTCAATCTCTCACAAAATCAATTAACCCAAGACTGTAGTCATTCCAACAGCTGCAGTACCCAAGACAAAAGAATCCAAAGCGCATAACTAGCAATACAAATGGTAGGACGGATATGGCCAGGTCTTCCAGAAATACATCCTTACCCATCCTACTGACCTCAGATCGCTGACCCCAACAAGCACTCTAAACATCAATTCTTTTGACGGAGCCATCTTGATGAATGTGCAGTCTCCGGAAAGTTTTCAGGCCGTCATCCTTGATACGAACGGATACGACTTCTTTCGGGTTGGTCGGATCATCGTGGGAAGCATGTGGCTTAGAGCCTCTATGAAATCCGATTAGCTTGTATCTCATGTTTATCCCAGAATTCCATCGGAGAGTCTGAGGGTTACCGGATCTCAGCATTCTTGAACCTGGGGTCCTATTGCGCACGCATCAGTATCTGCTACAAAACCAAAGATGGAATGATTCGACTCACACTCTTTTCTTCAGCGTCAAGAACCTGTCCAACAGGAGCCTGCCATTCAGGAGGAAGATCACCCAATCTTGTCTTCCCGATGAGTTGGTACAGAGAACGTGCTGTTGCTTTGAACATTGCGAAGAAATTTTCGAGATAGGTCGGTCTGCGTTCTGGAATAAGGATAACAGTATATGGAAGAGTGTTGTTGTGCTTGCTTGATGGTGAGGAAGGAGCAGGTTAAAGAGAGGGCTATTTGTATGTCAAGAAGGCCTGGATGGAAGGCTCTCAGAATTAGCAGTTCCTCACAAGTGCAATCCAGGCGCCAAACGATACATTGTAATGAACGACTGATGGCCAATTATCCAAGAAGCGTCCATGCGAACAGCACCGCTGGCGTTGATCGTCGTCATCTGCTCGTTCAGCCGCCAGACTCCGCTGACATGCCACTGAATCGATAGGCCGATAGCACTCCTTTCTGGGAGGCTGAGCACTCAGGGTTTTGCATGGCGGGGACGAATGTGGAATGGCGCTTAAGAGCAAGTCGCTGGGTGTATGATAGGCCAATTAGAATAGAATCAAGTATCAGACACCCCAAAAAGTAGGATACAATGTAGCGCCGTGTCAGAAGGCCACGCAAGGCTCACGAATTGTTATTGACATATCTGTACTTAGGTCGCTCGTAATTTTAGCCTCACGAACAAGCGGCGCTTAGAATTGGTTTTGGGTGGTCGATCTTGCTTTTCACTGGACCATCTTCTACCAGGCAGGAACGCCGCCGCTCTCACCCTTGCCCTACGGTTCCTGGCGCTTAAGCTTCTTGTGAGATACAGTCTTATTTTCTGTTCATTCCGTCTTATTTATTTGCATGCGATGTGCGTATGACTAGTAAGATGACAGATACATTCAATGATACTCCTCATACATTTTTCAGATATAACATGAGGCCATGTCTTTGATTGGGTCTATTAGTAGTAACAGCGTCAGCGGTGGGTTACAATCAGTAAGTACTTACCAATCAAGAAGTTAGGTGAATCTGATGAGCGATGACACCATCTCCGGAGATATCAATATACTATTTGACAACCATCTCGTTTCCAGGATCCCGACTGGTTTGGGAGAAGCATACACCAACTGGAATCCACAACGAGTAACATCGCATATGTTACCGGAGCATGTGATGAATTTAGGAGCCATGCAGGTAGTAGTAGTAGTAGTAGTAGTAGTAGTAGTAGTAGTAGTAGTAGTAGTAGCTGTCAACTAGCTCGCTAATACCACTCAATGGTTAGCTTGTGTTGCAAATTAATCCTTTTCCTCCCAACATTCTATGAGATGGTCAAGTACTGCATTATTGAATTCTTCGACTATAGCCGGAGTATTCAGTGAAATGCTAGAGTGGTGGGGAAAATAAGGCTCTAAGTTCAGTCATATAGACAAACCTTAGAGCCTTTTTGAACGGAGAAGACATTGTTCATATAGATAGAGAATTAGCGGTTGAGGAAGAATATGAGAAGGATCTGGAATATACATTATACCATATTGGCATTGCAATATTAGCAATGGCTAATTTGGTGTCTAAGAGGTCACTAAACTACGCTAATATGTTCGAATTGCTTAACGGCCAAGCTGGCGGTCAACAGCCTTCGTTTCCCCTCGAGATACCGGCCGATTATCTGCGGCTTGTAATAAGTAATATTTGGATTACAGATCCACGTTCAAGAAAACTGGACGCCACTCTAGGAGTGCTCTGAAGCGTGCACCTCTCCCTCTGACCTCTGCACACGGGAGAGGTAATTGACGAGATACCAATCAGCTCAAGCGGTCGTTGTGAGTGAGTTACCTGCTCAGTTATGTTGCATGCATTGCATGAAGAATGATAGTCAGCTCGTAGGTTGCGCTGAAATTGACTAAGCGCTTCAGCACCGGGTAGCACATCCGTGTGATACAAATGGCTTGCAGAGCATGAATGCACTATATGGAATTTGGCAATATGTAGCGACCGAAGTTGCAAAAAGCTGTCAGCTGACCTGCTTTTAACTTAGTGCTTACCCTCTTTATCATCATGTATTAAGACGACCACTCAGAGAGCGATTTTTGTTGGATCGACAGCACCTTAGTAACCGCATGCAGTAGACTAATTAACTAACTAGATGTGCCCATGGTCGTTAGCTGCTGTAGATTGCTCTGCATCGCGCCAATCAGAACTAACAATTGGTTGTCACACAATGGAAACTCCCTCAATAGGTTCAATGATTGAGAAGTATAAATATAAGTAAGGGCGATGGTCTCCTCCAGTACGAGTGGGCTTAGTACCTAGTACCCCAAGAGCGAACTCACCTCCATTTTCCCTCACCATGAAAAGCGTAGCCATCATCAGCGCTAGGCCTTGTAGCCTAGTAGCTCTGAAAGAGATGCTACAAGCAGGACTTGATACAACCATCCATGAACGTTCCGATCAGTTAGGTAGTCTATTCACCACTACAATGGCTTATCCGAACCTTCATCTCACAATCTCCAACTGGGCGATGGCTTTTTCGGACTTCTCTGACCCGTCTCGCATGCGGTACTCCACGGCTGGTGACTATTTGCTATATCTACAGGACTATGCTCGCCACTTCGATCTTGAGCGTCATATAAAGTATCGCTCGGAGGTTTGTAAGGCCACTCGCGGAGATGATGGACAGTGGAGTTTGTCGATCAAACAGACGAGAGAGGATCAGAATGATGAGTCCATGCTCCATGTGCAGGCGGATGCCCTTATTGTTGCGACGGGGAATAGCCAAGTTCCGAACGAAGTGCCCTCACGGCTGGCAGGATTCGAGGGCAGGATCGTCCATTCCAGCGCGTACGATGAATCCTTCATGCAGGAAGTTGCGGACAAAAAGCTTAGGGTTCTGATCGTGGGAGGCGGCGAGAGCGGTGCCGATATCTCGGCAGACCTATGTGAACAGTCGCCTAATTTGACGGTGTGGTTGCGACGTCCACCCTGTGTGGGCATACGCTACCTTAACAGGCTTGATGAGACACAACAAATGAAAGCCAACCAAACCGTGGACTTTCCCGTTAGCATCTTCCTCGAATCCATCACTACGAATCGCTTAGGTACAGCACAAAACGTCTATCTTTATACCTTGTACCGTCGTGCTGTTTTCTACAATGGCCTAATCCTATCCACAAGAGAGCGCTGGTTTCTAGAAAGGTTGGCCCCGGTCTTCTTCCGCAGTGACCAATCCACGGTAATAACCAAAAGTTCGCGGTTGTGTCAGGCCTTAGACAGCGAAAAGTTAGAGGCCTTAATAACCCCATATGTCTCTGCTTGTGGGCAGACATGTGAATTCAGCCTGCCAGATGGGACCAAGCAACGGCGCGAATTTGATGTCATCTTGCTCTGCAATGGCTTCCGAATTGAATTCCCTTGGCTTCAGCTTCCTGATGGCATTCCTTTCTCGGCTAACCCACGATCATGGTTTCTGCATTGCTTTCCCGAGGGACTGGGCGACTGTCTCTTCTTCTTGGGCTACGCACGGCCTGGCCAGGGAGGCATTCCTTCTGCGGCCGAGATGCTGAGTCGATATATCGCATTGTTGCTGCGTGGTGAAAGACAGCTTCCCGTTGACTATGCGGACCAAGCACGAAGAGACGGGGCAGCCGAGCGCGAGTATTACTGTATAAGCCCTGATGTCAACTCGATGGTCGATTATAATGCTTTCATGGAAAGCGTGGCACGGAAGATAGGGTGTGAGACCTACATGCCACTTTCCTGCGTGATCTTCTTTAATCTTCATATCCTGACTGTTGCCTTTCTGGCACTTCGTTGTTGCTCGACAACACTAGTCCCATTCAGTATGTCGACCTTGCTGGTGCTGTGGATTGGGACAGCCATCAGTCTTTGCATATTTCATGATGGACTCCTCATCAAGTGGTGGCTGTATCCCCATTGGGGCGTATGGTACCGCTACCGTGGCCCGGGTGCCAATCCCTCCCTACTCAAAGCGCTTCTGAATCGGCTGAGCCTGCGGGACTCGATCGTTTTAGACCCGCTCTTTATCACCTACCTCGTATGGTTTGTCTTATCGACCTATATTCAGCGACTGCTCTTGATATTCCTGTTCGTACCCAGTGCGCTACTATCTGCAATGGGTGTGCGTTTCCCTGAGGCGTGGGGAGGCCTGCTGCGCCCAAAGCTTTTTGTTTTGCACGGCTGCGAATGGCGTTTCTCTGACCTCTTTTTTCCATGACTTGCTGCAATTTTCTGCCAGTATCAGCTGATGTTGACAATAAATCTCCTTATCACACTTGACATAGCTTGATGTTATCAGAGGCCATGAAGCTTGCGGTTGCATTGAGGAAGGCTCCATATATTGGGCCGTGGTGGTTCGCTCCTATTTTTTTTTAGGCATCCGTGGAAAATCCATCTAGCAGCTATATTGTATGATTTGAGTACTGCCTCGCACAAGGTGGTAAATTTTTATCATAGAATAGTCTTGTTTACTGCGGCTGTCTTCTGTGATCAATGCTATGTGGAAGAACGAAATACTATATAATCTTTTGTGTGATAGATTAGGTTTATATTACATAATCATACAACAAGTCAGTGTGGCCGAGTGGTTAAGGCGTCAGACTCGAAATCTGATGGGTTCGCCCACACAGGTTCGAATCCTGTCGCTGACGATTGATTCAAATTTTTTGTCTTTTCTAATACTCTTTTTGAGTATATCTGATTATTATACTAGTGATTCCCTTTCTGGTATGTACCCGAATTGCCTCTCTAGGAGCCTAGGAACAACCTGCATGGCAAGGCCACATCTAAGGCCAATGTCACGATCCTATCCTGGTGCGCTTCAAGACTGAGATCATCCGGACTACTAACCACTCGGCTCACCGGAAAAAAATAGTAAAAATCTGAGTCAACAGACTCAGAACATGCATCAGTTATAAGCTTGCAGTGAATACCAAATGTAAGGAGTTTCCGGATCCTTATAACCAGCTACATCAGGTAGATGGAAGGGAAAAAAATTGTTGTACTTTCGAGTCTGACGCCTTAACCACTCGGCCACACTGACTTATTGCATGTAAAAAGTCTGTCATTTTAAGGATTAGTACCCTATTACCTGCAAGGCAAGAACCTTCACACAATCAGAAGCCCAGGAATAACAATGATATAAACCTTCCCAGAGATGTTTGTGCACTCACTCAAAGAAATTTTGGAATTTTGAAAAGGAAGGAAATTTTTGTACAGCAGGAAATACAGAAAGGAAATACTAAGGACTATGTACGGCAGCAGGAGAATCAGACGATTTTATATATTACTAGTTCAGTGATTGAATAAGTTATATAGTATCTCGTCAAGTTCCTTCCTCAGGTTCCCTTCAGCTTTCAGGATCATCAACGTCCTCTACTACCAAATCGGTTTCCGTTCCCCGTAGGCCCATTAGCGTCTTCCTACTGACATTGTCAGTAAATACTTGTTCTGTCTGAATATGTCTCTAATTATTGCCGTCCTCAGTCCTCGGAGCGAAGCGGGCAGCGTAATGCGGAGGGGATGTTGACATGAATGACATGATTGGGTGGGGTAAAGCACGTAGTCCAAGGCAAACAACACCGGCCTCAGGCCCCTTAGTACATGCAATGAGCTACTACTACACTTAGGTACTTCCAGCTCGTTGCCTTTTGTGATTATCTTATTCGTCTAGGTGGCTAGGTACTTGACAGGAACATTCAGCGGCACATAGAAACGTCACAGGCTGCGGATAGATAAATAACCACACACCCGTGATCCAGTGCCAGATAGTAAGTAGGATACCAGAATCAGAGAGACCTTATTCTCTTATGTCCTTGACCGTCAGATTTTCCAGCAAGCTCCGCACAATTCAGACTGCATTTCCCCCGAATCAATCCTCGAAAGCCATCATGCAAAAAACGCCTGGTCCAGAAATAAAGAAAAGTAGAGGACGGAGCTTGCTTATAAAACCCGTACATGAAAATCCGTCAATATGCCTCTTTCTGAGCACCTTTCCAATGTGCGCGTATCTTATCGGGAAGAGTTATTGGTATATGTGTCTTCATTTGCCTGGTATAGCGCCCGATTTCGTCTATCGTAGTCCCAGGTCCGTCATCTCCACGCTGTCCGCTGAGCCCATCCAGAGGATGTTGTTACACCTATCAGTGTATTGCGTTAGTAAATATTATGGCAGATGTGCACAATTGCATCCCAGAAGAGGGGTAACGGATGGCCAGCTCCCAGCACTAGTATCAGAGACCCCAGCCTCCAAAATAGCACCCGACCGAATAAACGCACCTAATCAGCACCAGACCCAATGTTCCCGTGTTTTTTCCATCAAGAAACTCTTCCGTATCACGGAGCAGCACGTTCATGTACGAATCGATGCTCTCAAGCTTGCCCTTGTATTCCGTCTGGCCCCACTTGAGACGGATGATGACCTCGGTACCGACTCTGCGAAATGAATTAGAGAATGATTTCCGGTAAATATTGCTAGATATAAGATGGGATTGCGACGGGGCGATCAAGCGACAAGGGACCGGATGCGTACCTAGCCTGGAGGAAAGGCCGGGGGTTGACAGGGTTGAACTAGATTCGCAGAGTTAGCTTACACCCCATGGTAATAAGAACGTACGATTGAAGATAAAGACGTGTTCAATGGAGTTGGGATAGGAGAGTACGAACACTCATTGTTGGTGGTCTCGAATCAATGCCAGCTGCTCAGCAGGAAATCGTAAAATATGGAAATCGATGGGAATGGACGCGCCAAAGGAAACGGATAATGGTAGAAATAGAATATGACCGTCTCCACGTCCAGGTGAGATTGAGCTGGTCGCGTGCTGTAAAAGAGCTGGGCAGTCTATCGGAGATCGCAGAGCCAACTTGACGGAGCTGATGCCGTCCGCGAAAATGTGATGCCGCCAGACGCGGATATCGCCCAATCAGAAGCCACACAGAGACACCGCCTTCTGAGAACTGCAACATCGCTCCGCATTTCATCAGTTTTATGGTGCATCCACCAGGCCATTTATTCTCTTCCTCCATCTAAAGTTGATATTTTGCTGAATGTGAAGATATTCGGATTTGACGGTTTCTCCAGGTTATATGGATTAGATGAACCGTTTCTTTTACATTCCGACATTGTATTTGACACAAATATACTCAGCATCAAAGACGTCTTAGGCTCCATTGTCGATTACACAGGCTAAACTACACTCCATTTCTCATTAAAAGATAATACAAGGACCACTGATGATTCCCCTTTCTTACGCCCTTCCGACCTGGAAGTTGATCTCCTTAATCGAAACCTCATCTCCAGCCTTCTCATCGTAGTCATACCACTCTTCCTCTGACAAATCAATGCCGGTGAAAGGAGTAGAAGACTCGGCTCCCTTTGCTTCCCACTCACCCTTATATGAGCAGTTAGCTACGATAATCTCTTCGTAGTCTAGCAAAGAGGATACAAAAGCACAGCCAAAGAAAAAGATGGGAAAATATAAGAGAGGCAAGAGTTACTTACATCAGCCTTAAACTCCGTAAACTCCAATCCTCTGCAGTCAATTTCAATCACCTTCTTCGCAGTGCGCTTCTCATCCGCCTCGTAGACGTTGGGTCCAGCAGTGATAGAGGCAGAGTGGGTTTTCTAGTAACAATCAGTATGAGTTTTCGTATCATCTCAGATATTTCAGTGCTCTCGGTTGCGAGAACGAGGTTAGAAGATAAATGTCAACCCACCTGGCACAGCTTGCATTTCCAGACAAAGTTTGCCTCACCCCTACTACCGGGGATTTCATGCTGTTCCTACATACATCGTAAGTTTTCTTTGTCTGAGAATCTATAGGACGGAAAAGCAAAAGTGGACTTACGAAGCGGTTGAAGCTGACCCAGTTGGGGTGGGTTTCACGGCAAGAGGTGCATTGCACTTTGAAAGTGTAGTAGTAGGGCTCTTCCTCAGTGTCCTTGGGACGGAGGTCGGTGACGCTGTTGGGTGTGAAGATATGTGAGCTGGAGTTCGTTCTAGGTGAGGTGCGGGGAAGAATCTTTGCGGAGGGGAAATGGCAAGTGACTTTTGGGGGGGGGGGGGTTATAGGAAGTATGAATGGGTGAAAGGGTCAGTTAGTAGAAAAGAGACATTACATACCCGCTGAGTTCGGCAGACAGGACGAGGGAAAGCATCTTGACTGTATTTGTTGCTTGGGCGCGTGTGTGTTGATATGGAGGAAGGAAGTTCTTCAGTGCGGGGCCGTGATGTCGGTTTCGGAAGCACACATAAAGATTCCACCGCCCTCCCGCCTGCTGCCCTTTTCACTTCAGCGTCATCTTCTTGTGTTTGTCAAAACTACCAACATTGTGTGACTCATTTTTCGTGGGATACTGTGTTAATTAATCTTGCAGTGTTGTACAGCCAGAAAGTAAGCTTAGAGACATTATATAGTATGCTATTCCTAAGCTGTAGGCACTGACATCTTAAGTATCAGACCAATAGTAATGAGAATTTTGAGCATCACTAAACAGATAGGAACTCACACTACAATGAGCTAGGGTATTTGACTCTAGATTAGGATAGTGGCCATCCTCTGCACCGTGTTCTCAGTTGCACTGAATCTCAACCACTGGTGTGAAGGATACACCATATTCATAAACTATCAGCTAGAGTGGACTTATGTGGCTCCGCTCACACCAGTGAAATACTTCATAGGTGCTATACCTCGCCGAGAATTCCGAGTCACTAGTTTTACCGAGATTGCATATAAAACTGACAGACCAACTTCCGGACTGAGCCCTTTCACAATCGATTCATGTTTGGGAATGCACACTGATTAAATATCATGTACCGTGTGCCGCTCACAGTCGGGGCACATTCCAAGACTTGAAATTCTGTGGGAACAGTTAAGAATCCGAGCCAAGTAGAGAAAGGGTCGTCGGAAGCTGTCAGGAGCAAATCTAGCTTATAGCATCGGCATGCCGACTGGTGACGATAGGCGGTAAATACTATAGATTCATAATTGTAAGAGTTGCTGTAGTTGCGGCAGTAAGTGTGACCAATAGAAGTAATTACAAGGCTTTAGTACGACCAGATATCTACTCAGTCTATGGATTAAACATCTCCTGGTGTCGACTGTGGTGTGTCATGGGTATAGGCTTACATACCGTTCTCCTCGGAAGGCACCTAGGAAGTACGGCTCACTCGAATAGCATCATTCGCTTGAAACACGCCAGTGATATAAGCAATACAAGTGCTCTCATATATGAACATTACATGCTTGGTGCTTTCTACAATCGCTCCCAGCACAATGTACCTAGCTTAATCTCTCTGTTTGGTGTTAAGGTGAATCTGGACCAATAACACTGAATGAATGCCTTATAGCAACAATAGGAGAATTCAATAAAGCCTATTGAGAAAGTCCTATTGTCCAAGATCCTATTGTTCAAATGTTATAGAATAACCTATTATGGCTTAGTCTAGGAACACATGTTAGGTCAAAGTGCTCTATTGTCCTCAACAATAGCATTATTCACTATGTGATTTCCTATTTGGGGAAAATACTGCCCTGTATATATGAAAACCCTCATTTTGTAGACATGATACTGGTATAGTTCCAGTTTTACTACATTCAATGAGGACAATAGGCTCACAATAGAACAATAGGATAGGTAATTGTGTCCTATGTGCTTGGACTTCTTGATTGTATCCTTCAACATCTTCGGATTCTTGTCTATCCAAAACACCTTGATCATCTCTGCATACCTCAGAGCCTTCGTTGCCTGTCAGATTTCGTCTATCTAAGCCTCATCTTACTCGATCGGTTGACTGAAACGCCTCGACTTCAAGATGGAGAGCAATAACGAAAGCAGCGAGACTTGGGAAGTTCCCATCATGCTCAGCCCGGAGTAAGATATCCTCATGTTGCTTCCTTTTAACGATGCTGACTGCAATGGAGGAACCTCAGCTACGAGGAGATTGCTAGGATCAATCCGTTCTACGACAAAATCATGGATATGTGGAACAGATCCGCTCAGGCCGCAACTGAAATGATCCTCTCCTCAGAAGGCTCCCCAAGTCTCTCCTCTCCGTCGTCACAGTCGACACATTCCGGAACCGAAAAGTCCTGTGTTCATCGAGAAGCATCTGCATCTCTGCTGAGAGAATGCCAGTGCTATGCTGACCATCACGTCCCTAAGCAGCCATGCACCTTGCTCCAGAACGGAAGAGAGCATAAGCCTTTGTATCAGACCCAAGACGGGCTTCGAACTGGACAAACTGCTCTTATCGAGAATGGTGATAGTTTCAGAAACGTGCTCCCCCGTTCTGTCCACCCCGTTGAGCACTATCCGCATGATCAGGTAGATGCGTCCTGTGTGGAACCTGCCCTCATGCCAACAAAGACCACGCACAAGAAGCTCTTCGGTGAGAACGGCTGGCTAGGATGCACTGCCGACATGAAGGATTTGTCGAGGGACACTCACAAATTCAGAGGCTTGAGAGGTCTTGGCAGGAAGGTTATCAAGCAAGTGGAAGAACTCGTAAGTGACCTTCTTGTTTCATTTTAGTGTATAGACATGCTAATGTTGATTTCAGGCCGAGGATGTGGCCAGGGCTCACCCAAACCCCATTATCCATGCCACTCTTCGCCCTAGACTTGTCCCCGAATCGACCATTCCCATCTCGCTAGATCCCCCAACACAGGCCAAACTATACTCAGAAATGGAGGTCATGCTCTGCGTCAGCGCCAATAAGTTCCTTCTCGGACAATACAATGAGGGCCGTCTGTCTGAAGAATCGATTCGCAAGGTCACCAACTATTGGGGATCCAAAAACCGGCCTCAGGTCATTGAGTTCCAGTTCGACCAGGCCACCCAGCGCCGGCTGATTCTGGCAAACATCCGGACTTTGCGATTCAGCGGCGAGTGTTCATCCAACCTAGTTCTCCTTAAGTCGAACCTGAATAACTGGAAGGCACTGAGCAAGGAGATGGGCGTTCGCACGTTCTGTTTCCCCGATAGCGCGGTTCGCAAGCACATGCATGACATCCATAAGCTGCTGGACATGCTGGACGCGCCTCTTACCACCTATCTCACGTTCGAAGAGCTTCAGATGAGCATACTTTCCTTGATGAAGTCCCATCTTGAGAAGCTTTGCCAAGTTGATGGTAGCCATGAGAAGTCGCATCTGCCCAGTCGAAAGTACGATGGACATCATTTTTAAGGCGCATTGAGCGACTTGGTGTCTCTCATTATCCTCTTCGTTCTATCTCGGTTTTCTTTTATTCCCCTTGTCTGTCTCACCTTCCAGCTCAGCACAGCAAGCAAAGGTACATGCTAGAAGCGGTGACGAGTAATTAGTGTCTTAGCACGGCTTTATTAAGCCTTGTATCTATAATCTAGATAAAAATACAATCCAGGCCATGACACATTGAACAACTCTCATCTAAGACTCTTGTAGACGGTTAATGAGCGTATCAAGATGCTCAACTCCACATTAGAGAGAGTCTGACAGCTTGGCTTGGCGGGCGCTTTCCTGCAGACACAACTCACCGTGCAGCCAGTGGACCAATCGCCACGTATGCATCACCACGTAGCCCTGAAGCCCCTAAAATACAAGAATAGGGCGCAAGGTGACCTGAGACCAGCTAAAGTGCCTTAAGGTTCTCCCGGGCCATATATCACCAATCATTTGAACCCACTTACGAGTGTCCAGGCACCCATTTGACACAACAGAAGATCACACTCCACCATCATGCCAGATCATCCGCGCAACGGCTCATAATATTCCGAGAAGGTCCGCCAAGGTTCTTGAGGATGATCAACTATAACAGGGACCCGGTATGAGTAGTCTGCTTGGTGCGATTGACAACAACCCACACAGCTCAACCATCGTGTCTGCTGCAGACATCGACTATGTTTCAAAGCTTAATATGTCGGGCCCTGTTTACGGGAATGTAGAGGGCGCTGTGTATTTGTTGGCAGCCCCTAATTAGCTACGTGTCGAGTGGTCTTCCTTGCATAGCTTAGCATGCTCCTAATAGTATCCCTCCAGCATCCGTATGGCTTAATCTTGCGGTCTACTCCATAGTAGGAGAGAGATAAGATAGTACTACTAGTAGTTAACCAAAATCCACCCTGACAGTTAGCCGCGATAACTCCGTAAGCTTCGTCTCTGGGTCCGCTTGGTGCGACACACTCACCTGTTTTACTTGAGCAAATCGAGCGACCTGCAGAACCAGTAATATTACCATAGAAGCAAAGAGGGATGATCCTTCGTGGCTGGTGCTGTGTGAGTAATGGTTTGAAATACTCGTAAGTTCTAAGTTGTTTGGGGTTACCAATCGAGATCGGCGATCGCCTGGCCGGCTTTCACGTGGGCCGACGTCATGGGGTTCTCTGCAGATTCACCTGGATTCATCTTTTCTGCTGCTGCCACCTTTTCTGCCTCCGATCCATCTCCAGCTGCCTGGCTGGCTTCTGGAGTATCGCAGGCCTTTTTACTGCATCTCTTTTGATTATGAATCTTATCCTCAAAGCTGGTATCGGGCTTTTTCGAAGCTTTCGCTGATACCTGGCCTCCCTTGCTGACCTACAATCCAGCGCGCGCTGGACATCTCCAAACAACAGAACAGCGCTTCTGCCTACATTTGCTCCCAACTCGGACTCACTGTCATGCTGGTTAGCCCTTGGTCACTTTGCACTGGCTTGGTTTATTTACACAGCTCTCTTTTGCGATAGTCCTGTCCCTGTTACTTGCCGTCACGATGACGACCGGCCCTATCCATACCTACGGCCCATCTTGTTTACTCGCGGAAGACGACCCCGATCTCTCTGCCTGGCTTTCTTCCGATAAACCACCTAGCGTTCGACCGCAGTTCTTTTACACCTCCACCCTTGCAATCGATGATCCGTTGGCTGCTCTCCCCCCTCCAAGTAGCGGTCAAGGTTCGGGGAATGAGTGGGCTCCGCTCCAGCCATTCTCAGTCAGGGATAATGCGGCCCTGGAAGATTCTTGGAAACAATTGCAGCAGACCATAAGGAAAGAGCTCGATGGGAAATCCAAATCTCAAAGTGGTACTTCGTCAACTAGGAATTCGGGCATCGATGTACCAGGCCGGGGATTTTCTGTGGATCCGGGGAAATTGAAACAAAAGGGACTACATGACACAAGCTTGGCTGGGAGCCGGAATAGCTCTACTGGCGCCCCTTCGCGCTCCTTGGATGACCAATTACCTCCCAGCTCTCAAATACGGTCCAGAATCGAAGCTAGTAAGGCAGGCGTAAACAACAAAGGGTCTCGAGAAAGGGCACGCACACTTGGCAGTAGCTTAGATGGTGGTCCTACAGCCGGCACAGGTGTACGGCGCAAACTGGAGCCGCCTTTCAACGACAAGTTCGGATCGGTAGAAACCAAGGCTAATGAAGTACTAACAAGTGACGATGCAGGAGCTGATGGCGCAGAAAGCACCAGTCCGCGAAGCTATCCTTCGCGCGATGTGAGCATCAGTGGTTCCCCTTTTGCCAGAGCTCCAGTCTCTCCCAGACACAGCCCATTAGGACGGTCTGTGGAATCTATATCGTCGAAAGATGGGAACCAGGATTCCTTGATCGATCCACCCACTCAGTCTGCACCGAAACCATCGGGATTACGGACGACGATTCGACAGACCTCTCCCGACGAGGATGATGGTGAAACGGGAGAAGCCGACCCGGTTGAGGAGCCGCGGCACAAAGTCCCCGTAGGTGCATCTCGGCTTCATCTGGTCGAATTACCAAGTCTCAAGGTAAGTCCATTTTCTAATCAACACGGTTGACCATGATAGCAAGTGGCTAAACCCGGACAGATGAAACCGATCTATTGGAGCCCCCTTCATGATATTTCGAGCGTATTTCGTGCGACGTGGTTCTACAAAAACACTATGCTCCCTGTGGAGACCGAACTCGCCAATAGATTGGAAGATGGCTACAACTACCTGAAACCATGGACCGAAACTTGGCAAGATGAACTTAATAGCTGCGTTGAGAATGGTGCCGATGCCGAATTGAAGATCGTACACAAGCTCTGGCCGAAAGAGAATACAACTAGACCACCTACAGCTGTGGCTGCGCCAGGTTCTGAACTTCGAAGCTCCAGCGCTCGTCTGTCGAACGAAGACAAGCGCAAAAGTCCTGAAATAATGCCGTTAGACCTCAACCGAGCTGCGGGTAGTACATCCGCGCAGTCCGACACTGTCAAGCCGTTCTTGAATTCTAGCGTCATCTACGCTGACGCGAGAAACGCACAGATTCTCCGGCCCAGCCTTCTTCCATCTGTGTCAAGGGGACGCAAGCCGCTCAGTGCGATCCGTAAAGGGAGGCAGATTGGTATTCCTGTGATTCGTGGCTTCAGTAGACGATTATGGGACCGACTACACCCAAGCAAACCCAGCCCAGTAGACGTGAGGAACTACCTGCGAAGCACCCAATCTCGAGCAATGTCGACGACATCCATCGAGCCTATTTGCTATGCATGTGCGATAGAAGAATTGCGGCCTGCTCCCACAGACTTGGTGCTAGTCATACACGGTATTGGCCAGAAACTGTCGGAACGGATGGAGAGTTTCCATTTTACCCATGCTATCAATGCCTTTCGAAGGCAGATCAACGTGGAATTAAACAGCGAGCCCGTCTGGCCGCATGTGCGCCCAGGCCATGGAGGCATTATGGCCCTTCCTGTCAATTGGCGCTCTACCTTGTCATTAGATGAAGCTAACCTGGAGTCTCCAGCTGGGGAAGATCCTGCTGCGAACCACTATTCCCTAGACGATATCACGCCGCAGACGATACCGGCTGTCAGGTCATTGATCAGCGATGTCATGCTGGACATCCCGTACTATCTGTCTCACCACAAGCCTAAGATGATACGTGCAGTAGTCAAAGAAGCTAACCGCATCTTTCGGCTTTGGTGTGAGAACAATCCAGGATTCCAGCAGAACGGGCGAGTACATCTGCTTGCACATTCCCTGGGGAGTGCCATGGCCTTGGATATTCTCACTCATCAGCCAACGAAAATTCCAACCTTCAACTTTGCCAAAACCGAAGTTCACGGAGACATTTTCGAATTTGATACGAAAAGCCTCTTTATCTGCGGCAGTCCGGCCGGGTTCTTCCTCCTTCTCAATAAAGGTAAATTTGCACTCTCATCCACAATATACGTCCTTATCGGATTAACCAACCACACAGCGAACTTACTACCTCGACGAGGTCGAGACAAACCCGGCTGTGAAGGCGACGACCGGCTCCGAGGCGTGGCAGGTGAAGCAGACACATACGGCTGTCTAGCCGTCGACAACCTCTACAACATCATGCACACCACCGATCGTAAGCATCTTACATCCCTCACTTCCAACCTACCTCATACTAACAGACACCTCAGCAATCGCCTACCACGTCAACGCGGCCGTTGACAGCGGCCTCGCCAGGTCCCTCCGACCCGCGTCCATCCCGACCTCCGCCGCATCCTTCTGGCAATCCGTAGGCAGCGTATTCCGCTGGAGCACTCCCCCAGCTCTACTCCCCTCAACCACCACCGTCCCCACCCGTCCAGCAACCCTCAACAAACTCCCCACCAACGTCGAACTAGAAACTCACGACTTCACACATGAAGAAATTGCCGAAAAGCGCATGTTCCTGCTCAACGACAACGGCCAGATCGACTATTTCCTCTCTGGCGGCGGCGGGCCCCTGAACATTCAATACCTGAACATGCTCAGCGCGCATAGCAGCTACTGGACCCTGACTGACTTCGTACGCTTTATCGTTATTGAAGTCGCTCGCAAACAGGGCAGAGAATATACTCTGCCTGTGCTGAGGGCGGCGAAGAAGAAGGGGTGGAAGATACATAAAGGCTGATGCGATGGTCTGGCCTATGCACCAACGAAGTTTTGCATGAAATGCGCGTTGTTCATCTATCTATTCATTCTTGTCTAAGTCTACTACGTCATGTTTGGTTAGCATGTGCGACTGGTCCTGGGAATCTTGTGGTGCAGATACTGATCTAATACTTGTTTTTTCTTGGTGGTAGCGATACCCTTGTTTTGGAGTCCAGAGTGCGATTGATACAATAAATTCGGAGCTTGTCTTGCTATGTTCTGGCATAGAATTTTGTATTCTTGCATATTTGGGGCAAATAATGAATGTCTACACTACAAGGTCATAATTCAGAAGAAGTAATGCCTACATAATATCATGAAGAAGTAATGCAATTTTGATTATAGCTATGCTATATATCCTAAATGAGCAAAACCTTGTAGTTAACTTAATCCTCCTCATTTCTCCGGCACCACAGCCCCCATCATCAACGCCTCAACCAACGACCCCTTCTCCACCTTCCCGGTTCCCGGCTTCAGCACCAACAGCGCATTAGCACTCGCCAAACTACCCACTCTGGAGCTACGCTGTCCCACCCCCTCCAATCCCGTACTCATAGCATAGAGCCGGCCATCCTCGCGCGACGCCGTAACAATGGCCCGATGATACTCGGTGCGTTTCTTATCCACGGGGAACGGATGCGCCAATGCCACAGACACAAGCGGAAGGCCTAGGGGCGGGGAGATCCCAGCGGGGGTGATCTTGCGCTGTTCCATGCCCATGAGCTTGTGGAGGGAGGGCAGTACGAAGAGATTGAGGGTGACGAGCGCGGAGGCAGGGTTACCGGGGAGGGAGAAGATGAGTTTGGTTTCGCGTTCTTGTTGCTGCTGTGATGATGATGGTGTGGAGGAGGGCTTGAATGGGATTGTGGCGAAGGTGGTAGGTTTGCCTGGTTTCATGGAGACACGGCCGAAGTGGATGGTTCCGCCGAGGGATCGCTCGATGGTGGGTTTGAGGAGGTCAAGCTCGCCCATTGAGACACCGCCCGTGGTGATGATTACGTCGACGCTGGATTGGGCTTTGCCGACGCCTCTGAGGGCGTCGCGGAGGCTTTGCTCGAGTTCTCCGACTGGGGTGTCGCGGGCGATGCCGAGGTCGACAGTGGGGAAGCCCCAGGAGGTGAGGCAGGAGAGGAGGGACGGGCGGTTCGAGTCACGGATTTGGCCGCCTTGGAGCTTGCGTGGGTCGTTGTGTTCGACGAGTTCGTCGCCTGTGCTGAGGACTCCGATGCAGGGTTTCTTGTAGACTTTCACGGTCTGGGTTCCTGTTGCTGCTAGAAGGCCGATCTCGCCGCCTACTGAGGTGATTAGGTCGCCTTTGCGGAGGATGCAGGACCCCAGAGCTACGTCGCTGCCTGGTTCGCGGACATTTTCTTGGGGTTTGATGTCTCCGGTTAGGATCTCGACGGTTGCTTCTTCTTGGCCGTCGGGGGTCGAGGAGGCGAGGACGGTGTCTTCGACCATCACTACGGCGTTGGCGTTGGGGGGAAGCGGTGCGCCGGTGGTGATTCGGGCGATGGTGCCGGGTTCGAGGGGGAATAGGATGCCTCCTTCGTTGGCGTGGGTTATGGATGCAACGGGGAAGATGCCCTTAGTGCTGGGGCCGGCATCGGGGGATTCGGGGGCGATGACGGCGTAGCCGTCGACGATACTGGCACGGTATGCGGGCACGGCTTCCCGGGCGTAGACATCTTCGGCAATGACAGATCCGACGAGCGCTGTTGTCACCGGGGCTTCAATGATTGTCGGTTCGGGCGTGTGTTGGCTGATCAGTTGGAGCGCTTCGTCAACCGAGAGCATTGGGTACGGAGACTCGCGGTATCGACGGTTTGGACCGGCGTTGGGGTCGTTTGACTGGGGACGTTCTGACGGGGAAGTATGTGCGCGGGGAACGGCATGTCCATGACTATGATCATGTCCTCCGTGATGATGATGGTGGTGGTGATGGTGATGGTCTGCCTTGCTGCCAGAGGGAGATGGCGCAGACACCCCTGCCTCGGCTTCAAGTTTCTTGACCCCGCCTGCGTGCAGGGCTCTGGAGTTTGCGCCAGCCGCCTGGCTACACGCATGCGGCAAGAGCTTAATGATTGCTTCGAGGTTCTCCTTGGCCCCTTTGGGAGATCCCGGTACGGTGACTATCAGCGTCTTGTCTCGCACACCTGCAACAGGGCGAGACATCATTGCAACTGGTGGTGTTTGTTAGCAGGCGAGTATTGCAATGTTGTCGCTGACTGCCTTACAAGGGGTGACTTTGAGAGAAGCTGCAATCATGCCATGTCTAGGTGCAGTAAGTTAGTATCGGTCATAAATCCGACATGGGAGAGTTGGTATAGACGCACACCAGGCCAGATGCATGGCGATGGATGAGAGGCGATACGGCCTGTCTGGCATTAGCAATGAAATACGAAGCTCAAGGGCAGGTAGAAGACCGACCTCAGGCGTGATATCCTTCGTAGCAAACCCAGTACCACCGCTTACGACCACAAGATTGACCCAGTTTGGACCGTCAGTCCAGTCACAAATGGAGCGTTGGATCTCCAACACATTATCGGGGACGATCTTGATAACGGGCTGACCCCAGTTATTCGACCCTTCGGCTGAGATGACGGTAGTAAGTGTATCTCCCACTCTATCTGTAGAGGGATCTTGCGAGGCGGTATCCGAGACGATCAAGATCGCCGCTTTAAGGGTGTTGTCTGCCATTGTAGAGAAGTGAGGGGTTGTTGGAGAGTCTCCTGCCGAGACGGCGGGGAGAACGGAGATGGATGTTGATAAGAGCGGAGGCTGCTTGACTGGCCGGACTGGTGACCCGCAGCGCCTACTACAGTATATAGTATGCTGCATCTATTCTACGAAACTGCTACTACAGCTTATACCTTACGACGTAAATACTTGTGCTCGCTATTTATCTTCGTTTGGTAAAATGTTCCTATGATATCTCCTAGCAATTACTGTACACCTTTCCTCCTCTTCTTTCCCCATCAGGCAAAGCAACAAAAACAAGACTATCAATGCAATTCACGCATAGCCAACCGGTCTACAGTCAAATCGAATCCATGCGCCCAATGCGGCCTATAAATAGGACAAATAACAGAAAAGTGAAGACAAGAATGATATAGGTCGTACAGATCATCCCCATCATGGCCCTCTACATCTCCACCAGCAGCATTCTTCAAGCAGCTCCAAAGTCGAGTGCCTTTCCTCCAACCAGAAGCCCAACAATCAATCCGAAGAGACCGAGAACGGAGCTGAAGATTTCGATAACCAGAATCTTGACGAACCTATCGTGCATTTTGTTAGCGTTCACTCCGCTAATCGAATGAAGGGGCTGACGAACAAGCTAGGGTCAGCAGCATCGGCCAGGGCCGCACCACTTCCGTTAATACCGACGGAGATACCGCAAATGAGGTTGCAGGCGCCCACAGTGATACCGCCCCAGAACAGCGCATATCCGGTGTAGTAGTTGCTGCCAGAGAAGGCCTCATCGCCTTCAACGAGGTTGAGCTTGGAGGAGAAGACGATGGCCATGATGACACCATAGATAGCCACGACTTCACAGAAAATAATCGAGATCAAGTTCTTGGTACGGATTCTGGGTGCTTTGACACCTCCACCAACGATCGAGGAGCCGGTCAAGAAGATACCCCTGATCGGAACGCAGTCAGTATCCCGTTCTCAATGACACAAGCCGGAATTGTAAAGCCATACCATGCCGCACCAACCACCGACAAGCCAATGCACATGGCAATTCCAAAGTTCGCCCAGGCATACGGAGACACCGACTCGAGGAAGTAGCCGATCTAGATCGAATTAGCGGGTGTTCACTGGTCATCGTGGTCGTAGGGATCCGTGACGTACGTTAATCTTTTCGCCTTCACCGCGGAAGAGGTAGTCTAATCATGGAAACCAAGGAAATTAGTGTCTTGATGAAGCCCGCCGCGCCAGAATGATGGTTTACTTACACAGTCCTACCACCGCTGCTGCCACGATTACAACACCGGAAGGATAGAGGAGACCCATGATGAAACCCCGGTTTTCGGCACTGCCTGAGTGCTGAAGGATATCAAGAAAACAAACGACGGGGGCCCCGAAGAGGAGAGGAGCAGAAGATAGGGAGTCAGACGAGGAGCGTAGGGAGCTCTTGACCGAAGCGTGTAGCTGGAACAAGCCGCAAGTACAGCGGGAGGTGGAGGTCGGGCCGCCGATTAATCCGCGGGCGTGTGCTTGTCAGTCCATCATCCCAGTTTAATACAAATACGGAGTACATAATACTGTCCAAGTTCCCCGGACCGATCCATGGGTCGAGCTCTCCTCCAGTCATCGTCGTCGTCGTCTTGCTGAACCTCTCTGCTCCCCGATATATACGATCGCTTTTCGCACCTCTCGTCTCTCCCCCAGATATACTTCCACCCCAATATATGTCCTTGTATCCCTAGTGCCCTCCTCCCACCTGACCGTTGTCCACCGCCTTAACACTTGTTGACTTTGCGACGTGCCTCCGCTACCCCTGATTCCGCCACCACTCCTACTATCAGAACATCTGCAGTCATGGCATCCACCTCCGGGGTAGGGTCGTATTCGAACCCTTTGAAGAAGTTCAAGTATGTCCCGCCTGTAGTATATCTTCCAGCTTTCGTGAATGTGCGGCTAATCGAATTGCAGGCTGGTTTTCTTGGGCGAGCAGAGTGGTACGGATATCTTCTGCGACAATACTCCAACCATTGGCGCCACCCGGTCTCTGACATCTTCCTCACAGTTGGAAAAACTTCCCTGATCACACGCTTCATGTACGACTCGTTTGACAACACGTACCAAGCTACCATTGGAATCGATTTCCTGTCAAAGGTATACTACGCCTAGTCGACTGCTTCCCCTACATTAGCAGGCCCTCACCCGAGCCATTCTCACCCGGTCTCATGGTTCTCCATACGTTCGCGCTACTGCAGGAAGCTGATTCGCATTGCCCATCCTAGACTATGTACTTGGAAGATAGAACTGTTCGCCTTCAACTTTGGGACACAGCCGGTCAAGAGCGTTTCCGATCTTTGATTCCTTCCTACATCCGTGACTCGAGCGTCGCGGTCGTGGTCTACGATATCTCCAACGCCAAGTCCTTCCAGAACACACGCAAATGGATCGACGATGTACGTGGGGAACGCGGTAACGATGTGATCATCGTTCTGGTGGGCAACAAGACCGATTTGAATGACAAGCGCGAGGTCACGACGGCGCAGGGCGAGGAGGAGGCCAAGAAGAACGGCTTGATGTTCATTGAGACCAGTGCTAAAGTTGGTCACAATGTGAAGCAGCTTTTCAGGAGAATTGCGCAAGCCCTACCCGGCATGGAGGGTGAAGCCAACCGGGGAGACAACCAAAGTGCGTTACCCTTTCCCCGCCCATGGCTTAAGTTACACGGAATGAATACTGACGGCTTTGACAGTGATCGATGTCAACATCACCCCGAAAGAGACCACGACCAACGACGGATGCGCCTGCTAGATGTTGTACTCTCTAATTCGTTCTACCCCGGCCATACTCCCTACTACTTGCGATCCCTCTCTATCTGTGCCTGAATCTCAATGATGAGGCTTGAGATTGTCCATAATGCTCTTCATTTTTAAGATGTACATTTTTCTCCCTTTATGTTCCAGGTGAATAGCGTGTTTAGATCAAGCTTGAGCTTTTCTTTTTTCTGTTGAATGCGTCTTCTCTTGCTCTTCCTGAAACCTTACCTTGAACTCCGACTTTTGACGGGAGACCCAGGCGTTCGGCTTGTGCATTGACATCATATTGCATTTCCCCGCGGTTTCCCGACTTTTGTGCTGTTTTCTTGTCTGTGTCGCTTGCTCCGGGAGCATCATGGATGATAATGATGATGCTACTGCTGCGATTTGTTAGAAATACCACTACTCCAGATGGCGTTCATGTTGCAATGGCCAAGTCATGGGTGGCATAAGCTTTTGTTGGGATCGGTGGCTCTACCAAGTGCTGTGGTTCTTCGTCGTATGATCAACGGGGGGGTAAGTGTCGATTAGGTTATCGTGTCAACCGCTCATCCCGGCGATCTGACTAGTCTTGTCGGAGAAAAATCAACAACATAATGGGGAAAACCCTTTCAAGATCAGCCCCTGAGAGAGGAATTCATGCACAATGGTGGGTTCGATAGTAAGCAGGCCAACAGGCAGTAGCATTGGTCGTACTCGTATTATGTCTTGGCAAGCATAGGTCAAGCAGAGTATGTACGTACGACATGCACAGTCTAGTACCTCCTAGTCGGCAGGGGATCCATCCAGACGGGGGGGCGAAAGAGGTAGGGTAGAACTAGGGCCACCATCGAACACAGAATTGTTTGATTCGGATGTCAATACGGTTCGATCGCAGCATTATAATATAGTCAGTATAACAGGGGTAGGATGTATGTAGCTTTCTGGTGCTGTTGTTGTTACAGCCAACAAACAACGTCATGGGGCAGCGCATTGGCGGTGACCACAGGGTCTGTTGCAAGCAACACAAGCAAGAAAAGGGCATCGATCGGCGGGCGGATCGCCCGGAAAATCGTGCCCCTGTGAAACCCGCAATTGGGCGCCAGCGTCACTTAAACACGCCCTGCTGCGTCCTCTTTAGTCCTTTCAATCTCGCTCTTCCCGCCAGCCCTTCCATTCCTTTTCCTCTTTCTGTCGCTCCCTTCCTTCCACCTTCCACCACCACCACCAACAACCCTCATATCTCCCCCCCTCTCCTACATAACATTCCCTTAACTCTGATATCTCTCCTCGGCGATATCAATCATGGGTTTATCAACCCGTCTCTTCCGCATCCCGCGGCCAGAGGTATGTTTTAACATTACACAACCCCCGGCGTTTAAATGAAAAAATTAGGATGGGAACCCAGACCCTGTTTGGACCCCGTTGCCCGGTCGCGCGCTGTAATGAGGCTAACCATCGCATCCCGGCTTTCCGGTGACCTTCACACAGACCTTCCTCTATGTTATGAGCCTTCAAACCGGAGCTTCCTTGATCACTCTCTCCTTACTCCTCAACAAAATTAGCGGACTCTATGGCTTGCTCGCCCTGTTGACCGGTTACCACCTCTCCCCGGTGCAGCTGTCCATGTACATTTACTCCCTCCTCGCGCTCGGCCTCACAGCTTTACTCTTCCCGCACATCCGGAAACAAACGCCACTACAATGCCTCGCGCTCGCTTGGCTCTATGTCTTCGACAGCCTGATCAATGCCGCTTATACTGCAGCTTTCGGTGTGACCTGGTTCCTAGTCGTGTCTCAGCATTACGACAACGGCAGCGCCTCGGGACCGGGTGGTGAGACCATCGCCCAGACCGCTGGCTTCACGAGCCCCAAGTACGACACCACCAAAACAGAGAGCGATCACTACGCTAGGAGACCGGATGCTCTCGGAAACGCTGTGGCACAGCCCGAAAGCTTCCAAAGCATCTTTGTCATTTGCTGCCTCTGGGTTATTCGCATCTACTTCGTTTTCGTCATGCTCGCTTTTGCTCGGCAGGCCCTCCGTCTCTACGTCGCCGTCCCTCGCCACACCCAGCTCCCAACCCACAGCCGTAATACCTCCATCGCAAGCGTCGCCAGTATTGCGGACATTGACCGGGAACCTTTCTCCCCGTATAGCCCTGATGGCCAAGGTTGGCAAGGAAAGCTCGGGCGCATCATGATCAGCATCGGCCGCAACTACTGGCTCGGCGAGGATGAAGAAGGCGGAAACTGGATGGCCACCCTTGGCCGCCGTTTCCGCGCTCGTGCGGAAGACACCGAACTTCCCGGCCCTCTCGAGCGGGAGAGAAGACGTCGCTCGGGAACCGGACCTCCCCAACCCTCTCAGTCCGCTTTTCAGGCTGTAGCCTTACAACAACCGATCCATGAACAGGTCCCAGGAATGAACGTCAAGATGAACGGTTGGACCGAGAGCAGGTAATTCTGCGATCGTCTTGCATTGGAACTTCAATTGAAGATCCTCGGTCTCTGATCCGGTAATACATTTCAAAACTACCAAGGGGCTCAAGGGCGCATCCCGGCGGACATGATCAGTCACCGTCTGCCGTATCGCACAGAATGACAGAGCGAGAGCTTGGTTCTTGATGACGATGCCACACTCTACTATGGAGGGCTCACAACTCCATAGCCTCCCCCTTTGTGTCCACCCACGTTGCGTGGTTTTCCTTTCAAACCTGTTATTATATATGCCGAAATGATCTACATACACTGTTTATGAATCGGGACAATGGGAGACATAGGGGAATAAGGGAGGACGGTACCGCGCTTCTTCGGCCCTGGCTTGTGCAGCGATGGTGTGATATTGAAACGACATCCATCCCAAATAGTCGCGCGCGCGAAAGGCGCGGGCTACCAGGCGGCATCATAGCTGGAAGGATGAACATATATTGGCTTTTGAGGAGGTTTGTCGTCACGGCCGACATGGACTTGGCGTCTCGGACCTGTATATTTGTATCGACATAGGGATGGTTCGTTCGAGGCGTTATCTTGTTTTCAGGGTACATTTTTGTCGCATCATGCTAGGGATTTGCATATATTTCTTCCCCCATCATACTTGGGCGCCCGAGAACAGCGTCATATTATTTTATGTGCAAGAAATAGATACCCCTCGCCAATCTTGATTCGTCAGCTGTCACTGGCAATAAATTGTGGCTTGGTTTTCATAAGATCGGATGGTGTCGTGCTGTATAATTATCTACTATACATCTAGTGTCTGATCCGAGTTATCTCCGATGCTGTCTCGCCCGAGAAAGGATGATGTCAGTTGCATGTCTGGAGCGAAGCCCAGCAAAGCCCGCGAGAAATCCCGATGTAATTGCATGATAGTACACTAATCTACTAGTAGAACGCCCGGAGTACATTGAAAAGTTATAATATAATATCTTACTAGTGGTTGTCAATAAAACCGGTGTATGGGTTCATGAATTCTGAATATATATCCGACCACTATGAGCAGGGTAATATCGGCATGAAAATTTAGGCATTACTAGTAGATAAAGGCACCAATATTTATACTAGTAACTGTAATGTTCTTTATATAAAAAAATAGATTTTATGAGAGCAAATTCAATACAATGAGATTAACTCAAGTCTGTGTGAATCATTCTGATGTTGTTGTAGTTACTAGTAGTTGTACTAGTAAGTAGTTCGTGCTTTGAAATCCGCCGGCATTCAGAGCAAAAGCCGATAACTGCCTGATGTACGAGGCATCAACGGGGTGACGTGCTCGAGGACCAGTCACGAGGCCCCCGCACTTGACCTGATCGGGGATGTTTGCAAGACCGTTCAGCGGCTGTTTGCATCGATGTCGTGATCGCAATCCAATCAGCGTCGGGCTAATCCAACCCCGATGGCGGAGAAGGGCCCCAAAAGTCTATGAGGAGCAGAACCATTGCTCGTCGCTGCACGGAGTTTTGTAGAAAAATTAGGGAAAGACGGGCTGAGTGTGAAGCTAAAATTTCCCCTGTCTTTACCTGGAGTCATTCCACTTCTCCTCTTCTTTTTCCTCCTCTTTCTCCTACCCCATTATCCTCATTTATTGATCTCGAATTGAGTGGGGAGTCACCGTATGCGGTGATATCCAATTCTCTCTGCCATCCCACTTCCTGCGCTTTACGCTGCGCAGCTAGCAATTGTCAATATGGCATCCGTTTCGACTGCGGGTGAAGCAGGTATGCTGTTCCTCTGGTTCCTCTCTTTGTGTGATTGGAACTCTATCATTCAAAGGAATCATTCATGGTCCGGTCTGAGTGCTAACCATTCTTCCGATGCTTCCAGTGGCGAGAGTCGCTTACTTGGCCAGCGATGTCGTTCTCTCCGTTCAGCCGTCATTGCAGGCCGATTCCTGGTTCTCCAAGACTCTCAAGACCCTGAAGGCCAGCAATGCCCGTAGCATTCTGCCCCGCGGTGTCACTGACGTGAGTCACACTGTTCATAAGGACTATATGAAGGCAGATCTAACACTCTGCACAGGTTGTGGCTGTTCGCTATAATGAAGACCCCCTCCTCTCCGCTTTCAACCCTCTGCAGACTGGAAACACTGTGTCTGTTGTGACCACCTCCTCCACCTTGCTCTCCTCCATTCCTCATCTCTACCGCCTGGCGAACACCCCTGTCGTCATCCATGTCGCTCTGGAGCCCTATCCCTTCCCAGATTACTCCGTGATCAGCTCTATCAGGCAATGCGGATTCACTTTTCTGCACTCTGAGACGCTTCAGGAGGCCCAGGATATCGCTATCACTGCTCATGCGTTGTCCCGCAAGTCCGGCAAGGGTGTCATCCACTTCTTCGACCCTGCCAACTCCGCTCGCGATGACGCCATTGCTGAGGAAGACGTTGAGGTCTTTCGGTCTGTCCTCAACTTGGGCAGAAGCTCTGTGACACATACCTCTGGCCTGGGTGCCCAGACGCTGTACACTGACTCCGGACGGGTCGCTACAGTGACTGAGGATGTGGACACCGCCACCAGCCAGG